AAACAACGTGCATTTTCACAGTTAAGCATGAAACAACTAGGAACACCGGACTGTCGGTATGTTTATGGCGCAGACGCCCCACACATAAAACACTGGTGACGCAGCCCTTACAACGGATTCCTTGAGTGGCGGCCTTACAGAAAATGTAAGTGTGGAGGATCTGCAGTGGCCTCCACAACTTGAATCCTTTTCATGGCAGTCTGTGCAAGCAAGGGGTTCCTTGTGTTGCGGCCTTACAAAAGGGTTTTCGTTATGAGGGGATCTGCAGTGACGGCACCTCGCGCCCACGAAAGCTAAAGAGGAAAACTGGAGAAAACAACAAAACACAAACTCTGCCTGGCGAAGGGCCCAACCACATGCATTTGTGGGTACCGCAAGTGTGAGCATCTCCTTCGGTGGCGATCCCGTTGGGGCCACGAACCGCATGAAAACTGTGCCGAATTGCGTGGCGGGCCGTGTGAAGGGTGTGCCGTAATGGGTGGCGGTGGCGAATGCAACCGCACCCACTGTGGCCTTCGATGGAACTCCCTATGGGGCAACGAACCGTGTGAAAGGTGTGCCGTAATGGGTGGCGGTGACGCATGCATGCGCACCCACTGGGGCCTTCGGTGGAGCTCCCTATGGGGCCACAAACCGTGCAAAAAATGTGCCGTAATGGGTTGCGTTGACGCATGCAACCGCACCCACTGGGGCCTTCGGTGGGGCTCCCTATGGGGCCACGAACCGTGTGAGGGGTGTGCCGTAATGAGTGTCGGTGACGCATGCAACCGCACCCACTGGGGCCTTCGGTGGAACTCCCTATGGGGCCACGGAACGTGTCAAGGGTGTGCCGTAATTGATGGCGGTGACGCATGCAACCGCACCCACTGTGGCCTTCGGTGGAACACCCTATGGGGCAACGAACCGTGGGAAAGGTGTGCCGTAATGGGTGGCGGTGGCGCATGCAACCGCACCCACTGGGGCCTTCGGTGGAGCTCCCTATGGGGCCACGAACCGTGTGAAAGGTGTGCCGAAATTGGTGGCGGTGACGCATGCAGCCGCACCCACTGTGGCCTTCGGTGGAACTCCCTATGGGGCCACGAAGCGTGTGAGGCGTGTGCCGTAATGGGTGGCGGTGACGCATGCAACCGCACCCACTGGGGCCTTCGGTGGAATTTCCTATGAAACCACGAACCGTGTGAGGGGTGTGCCGTAATGAATTGCGGTGATGCATGCAACCGCACCCACTGGGGCCTTCGGTGGAACTCCCTATGGGGGCACGGGCCGTCTGAAGGGTGTGCCGTAATGGGCGGCGGTGACGCATGCAACTGCCCCCACTGGGGCCCTCGGTGGAGCTCCCTATGGGGCCACGAACCGTGTGAAGGGTGTGCCGTAATGAATGGCGGTGACGCATGCAACCGCACCCACTAAGGCCTTCGGTGGAACACCCTATGGGGCCACGAACCGTGTGAAACATGTGCCGTAATGAATGGCGGTGACGCATGCAGCCGCACCCACTGGGGCCTTCGGTGGAGCTCCCTATGGGACCACGAACCGTGTGAAAGATGTGCGGTAATGGGTAGCGGTGACGCATGCAACCGCACCCACTGGGGCCTTCAATGGGACCCGGAATTGGGCCACGAACCGTGTGAAGGGTGAGCCGTAATGGGTGGCGGAGGCGCATGCAAACGCACCCGCTGGGGCCTTCGGTGGGGCTCATTGCGGGGTCACGGAACGTGTGAGGGGTGTGCCGTAACTGGCGGCGGTGACGCATGCCACTGCACCCACTGGGGCCCTCGGTGGAGCTCCCTATGGGGCCACGAACCGTGTGAGGGGTGTGCCGTAATGGGTGGCGGTGACGCATGCAACCGCACCCACTGTGGCCTTCGGTGGAACTCTCTAAGCGGCCACGAACCGTGTGAGGGTGTGCCGTAATGAATGGCGGTGACGCATGCAACCGCACCCACTGGGGCCTTCGGTGGAACTCCCGATGGGGTCACGAAACGTGTGAGGCGTGTGCCGTAATGGGTGGCGGTGGCGCATGCGAACGCAGCCACTGGGGCCTTCGGTGGAGCTCCCTTTGGGGCCACGAACTGCGTGAGGGGTGTGCCGAAATGATGATGATGATGATGATGATGATGATGATGATGATGATGATGGTGATGATGATGATGATGATGATGATGATGACGATGATGATCATGATGGTGATGATGATGATGCTGATGATGATGGAAATGATGATGATGATGCTGCTGATGATGATGACGATGATAATGATGATGATGATGATGATGATGATGATGATGATAATGATGATGATGATGATGATGATGATGATGATGATGACGATGACGATGACGATGATGACGATGACGATGACGATGATGATGATGATGATGATGATGATGATGATGATGATGATGATGATGATGATGATGGTGGTGACGGTGATGCTGATGATGGGGATGCTGATGATGGGGAGAGGGAGGGAGGGGCAGCGGGAGGAAGGAATGACGCGGGCGCTGTCTGTTCAAAGCGAGGACCCAGTGTTGAGGTAATACAATACAACGAAAACTGGGAAGACCTGTGACTGTAGGTATTTTTTAGTTCAGAACACTCGCGATACTGTATTTTTTACTGTGCCATACATGCACAGGTGTTTTTAGCTCTTCTGATCTTTGCCCATGTGAATGCAAAGACTTGTCATTATTGGTTGGTCTTCCCCCCTATGTTTTCCTCTCTAGCTTTCCTGGGCCCAAGGTGCCGCCACTGCAGATCAACCACAGTTACAATCCTTGTGTAAGGTCGCCACGAAAATAGTTATTTCTGTAAAGGCTGCTATAAACAGATTTATGTGTGGAGCGTCTGCACCAACACAAAACCGACAGTCACAAATCGTCCTAGCTTTTTTCCCACATCCTGAGTGGGGTTCTTGTTTTCCAAGAACACCTTCTCCTTCTCCTTCTCCCGCTTCCTGCTCCACATGCGTACCATATGATTTATCAGGTCTCGTGCCCCTCCCACCGCCCCTGCCACCCCTCCAGGGAGGCCCCGCCTGAGCGAGGACAGCATTCGCATTCACATACCATGTGATTTATCCAGTTACGTGCCCCTCCCACCTGTCCAGGGAGGCCCAGGCTAAGCGAGGACAGTATTCAGATACTACGTGATTTACCAGCTTCCAGGCCCCTCCCACCCCTCCAGGGAGGCCCCCCTGCGCGAGAACAGCGTTCGCATTCGCATGCCATGTGATTGATCAAGTTCCGTGCCCCTCCCACCCGTCCAGGGAGGCCCCGCCTGAGCGAGGACAATATTCGGATACCATGTGATTTATCAGGTTGCGTGCCCCTCCCACCCGTCCAGGGAGGCCCCGCCTGAGCGAGGGGACAGTATTCGGACACCATGTGATTTATCCGGTTTCGTGCCCCTCCCACCCGTCCAGGGAGGCCAAGCCTGAGCGAGGACAGTATTCGGATACCATATGATTTATCAGGTTTCGTGCCCCTCCCACCCCTCCAGGGAAGCCCCGCCTGAGCGAGGACAGCATTCGCATATCATGTGATTTATCCGGTTACGTGCTCCCCCCCACCAGTCCAGGGAGGCCCCGCCTGAGCGAGGACAGTATTCGGACACCATTTGATTTCTCAGGTTCCGTGCCCCTCCCACCCCTCCAGTGAGGCCCCGCCTGAGCGAGGACAGTATTAGGATACCATGTGATACATCAGGTTTCGTGCCCCTCTCACCCCTCCAGGGAAGCCCCACCTGAGCGAGGACAGCGTTCGCATACCATATGATTCATCAGGTTTCGTGCCCCTCCCACCGCCCCTCCCACCCGTCCAGGGAGGCCCCGCCTGAGCGAAGACAGTATTCGGATACCATGTGATTTATCATGTTTCGTGCCCCTCCCACCCGTCCACGGAGGCCCCGCCTGAGCGAGGACAGTACTCGCATACTATATGATTTATCAGGTTCGTGCCCCTTCCCACCGCCCCTCCCACCCCATCCAGGGAGGCCCCGCCTGAGCGAGGACAGTATCCGCATACCATGTGATGTATCAGGTTTCGTGCGGTGGCCATGAGAGGAGGAGGAGGAGGGGGAGGAGGAGGAGGCGGAGGAGGAGCAGGAGAAGGAGGAAGGAGGAGGAGGAAGAGGAGGAGGATGGAGGAGGAGGAGGTGGAGGAGGAGGAGGAGGTGGAGGAGGAGGAGGAGGAGGACGAGGAGGAGGAGGAGGACGAGGAGGAGGAGGGGGAAGTGCACGATTCTGCCAGACACCACGCAGAAAGAGCATGCCGACGACGATAACGATACGTAATAGTCACGATGACGATGATGATGCTGCTAGTAACAACGAAACGGTTGACGATGCTGGTGATCATGCTGATGGTGTCGATGGCGCCGGTCATGGAGAGGATGATGATGAGGAGGAGGATCATGATCATCATAGCGACGACGATGATGATGTTGATGATGATGCTGATGACGACGAGGTGGACGACGACGTCGAAGAATAATGCCGTAACATGTGACACTTTTCGTATTCACACCTCCAGGGGCCACTTACACTGGAGGGAGCGCCGCATGCAAGTGGGTGTCCCCAGCGAGGACGGATATTGTCTTGGAAACGCTCCCGAGAACCTCATAGAGCCCCCGGAGTCCCTCCAGAGGGCCCCAAAAGCGGTCCGAGGGATTCCCAAGAGGCCCCGAAGGGGCGCTCAATGCGCCCGACGAGGTCTGTGGAGTGCCCACGGACTCTTCGACAATAGCCGCTTCCTCGAGACATCCTCAAACAATCGGCTCCAGAGGGGGCTCCGAGCCAGCGACGACATCACGGATGGAGTGCGCTTATCATTCCACATGCCGTTCTCGTTTCGACGTCGCTGCAATCCCGAAGCTGCGTGGGCTCAAGAAACCGAGGCCACACGGGCTCCAGGAAGACTCGAGTGCGACCCGCCATGCCTCTGGACCACCCTGGCAGCAAGGAGGCCCGCAAGAAGGGCAAACGCCTGAACGACCCCGAGGTGCACGCGAAGAGGGAACAGCACAAACAGCAACAAGCCCAGACCGCGCCTGACGGTGAGGACCCGAAGCAGCAGCCTCAGCCCGCGCCTGCCAGCGAGGCGACCGGCGGCGGCGATCCAGACAAAGCCGCTGCGGCCGGCCCGGCCCTACCGCCAGGCGCAAAGCCAGAAGCTCTGCCAGAAGCGGCGCCTGGGCACGCGGCGCCTGCCACGGCCGCGACGGACGCAGAGGAATCGCACTGGACGGCGCTGCTCCGCTCTTGTCCAGCGGGCCAGAGAACTGCGCGAGCGGGAGCGCGCCGCTCAGACCGCACAGGCCTTCGGCCTCGACGCGGGGCCCCAACCGCTGACCCCTGCTCCACCCGGCGCACGCGACGGCCTCCAGAGCGCGGGCAAAGGTCGGCGGTCGCGAACTCCTTGTGGAACGACGCTTCCAGAGCCCCATGTGTCCACCTCGCCACGTTCGCGCACGCTCTTCTACACGCGCGACTGTTCAGGCTAGGTAGCCTCCCCAAACCCCTCCCCCGGGAGCCCGGTCCGGTCGATTTGGAGGGGGGGGGGGGGGGTCCGGGACGAGCGCTCCACGGGGCTTTTCCTGGCCCAAGAGGGCTTCAAGACGGGCCACGAAGCCCCCAAGAGGCCTCCAAGACGGCCCACGAAGGCTCCGAGAAGCCAAACGACCGCTCCAAGACGCCCACGATGGCCCCAAGACGGGCCAAGAGGTCTCCAAGACGGCCCCTGAGGTCCCAAATGAGCCTCCCAAGAGGGCCCAAAGAGTCAAAAATTGCTGATTTTCCAGAGTGTTTTTCGATGTTTTTTGCTTTTCCGCCTTTCCGGCTTCCCGACGCTCCAAGACGGGCAAAGAGGCCCCAAAGATAGCCCCAAGATGGCCCAAGACTCCAGACGGCCCAAGACGGGACCCCAAGAGGTCCCCAAGACGGCCCAAGAGGGCCGATTTGGAGGGGGGGAGGGGGCCGGGACGAGCTTCCAGGGCTTTTCCGGGCCCAAGAGGGCCTCAAGACGGGCCAAGAAGGCTCCAAGAGGCCTCCAAGACGGCCCACGAAGGCTCCGAGACGCCAAACGACCCCTCCAAGACGCCCAAGATGGCCCCAAGACGGGCCAAGAGGTCTCCAAGGCGGCCCCCGAGGTCCCATACAAGTCTCCCAAGAAGGCCCCAAGAGTCTAAAATTGTTGATTTTCCATAGTGTTCTTCGACGTTTTTTGCTTTTCCGCCTTTCCGGCTTCCCAACGCTCCAAGACGCGCGACGAGGCTCCAAAGATAGCCCCAAAATGGCCCAAGAGGCCCCCAAGACGGCCTCCAGACGGCCCAGGACGGCCCCAAGACGGCCCAAGAGGTCCTCAAGACGGCCCAAGAGGGCCGATTTGGAGGCGGGGAGGGGGCCAGGACGAGCGCACCACGGCCGGGACGAGCGGTTCACGGAGCTTTTCCGGGCCCAAGAGGGCCTCAAGACGGGCCAAGAAGCCCCCAAGAGGCCTCCAAGACGGCCCACGAAGGCCCCGAGACGCCAAACGACCGTTCCAAGACGCCCAAGATGGCCCCAAGACGGGCCAAGAGGTCTCCAAGACGGCCCCCGAGGTCCCAAACAAGCCTCCCAAGAGGGCCCCAAGAGTCTAAAATTGTTGATTTTCCATAGTGTTTTTCGATGTGTTTTGCTTTTCCGCCTTTTCGGCTTCCCGACGCTCCAAGACGGCCAAAGAGGCCCCAAAGACAGCCCCAAGATGGCCCAAGAGGCCCCCAAGACGGCCTCCAGACGGCCCAAGACGGCCCCAACACGGCCCAAGAGGTCCCCAAGACGGCCCAAGAGGGCTCCAAGACGGCACCACGAGGGGCCCAAGAGGGCGACCAAACATGTTGAAACTCTAGCTTTCTGCCCCCAGGAGCCCCAGGGGGCCCCAAGAGTGCCCCAAGAGGCCCCCAGAGGCCCTCACGAGGCCGCCCAGACGCCCCAAGGAACCCCCAAGAAGCACCCCAGAGGCTCCGAAACGGCCCCCGAGTGGCTCCAAAACTCGCAGTGTCGCTGTCCGCTCGGACCTCCCCGCGGAACTGCCCGAGACCCTCTGGCGGTGGCGGCGAACAGACACCAAACAAATATCACTCGCCTTTTCACCCCTTCGCAGCTTCTACTACCTAGATTGGCATAAACAAGGGGTCGGCGGTGTGGCGTAAGCCTAAGAATCATACAAGTTCCTTTGCTTCCGCAGACGCCGCTCTTTTGATATCTGGAAGCGTTGCGTTTTGCCCTTCTACTGATGTCGCGTTCCAGAGTAGACTTTGCTTTGCTTCTGCAGATGTTCTCGGGATGCGTGGAAGCAGTTGGCGTTGTGCCCTTCCACGGATTATGTCTTCAAGTGTAGAAGTGCGTTGCTGAGCAGATCCGCAGATTTGCGGGAGCATGTGGCTGGCCTCTCGGGGCCCTCCTAGTCTGAGGGCATGGGGACAACCTGCTGTTCTGGTGCGCTCCTCTGCGCCGACCGCGCTGAAATCGCCCGCGCTGCGGACACTTCCGCGTTTTTCCGGCGCATCACAACGCGTTTACGATGTGCACGCGAGCGACGCATTCGCGATGTGCTCGCGCGCCGAGCCGGCGCGCGCGTCCACGTCGGGCACGCGCGCAGGAGCGAGACTGCGCGTTCTTGCGCGCATCTTTGTCGCGCTCGCAGCGCGCTCGCGACAGACACGCCGCACCGAGCGTCTCTGCTTACGCACCTGTTCAGCGGCGCGCGAGGTTGCTCCCAGGCGCAATTCACGTCCGCGCTGCGCGTACTCCGGCTGCCATCCGCTTCCCGCGCGCGCATCTGGCATCTCGGTTCCGCGGGCGCGCCCTCGCCCTCGCCCGCGTCGCTCTGGCACACGCGGCTACTAAGGCCGCGTGCACGTGAGCGCCACTATGCGCCCCTCGCTTCATCGCTCACGCATTCACGGCGACGCCTCTGTCCCCAGGCGCGTCACCACGCCCGCATTCTGCCGATGGTACATGCCGCTGAGTTCCCGTGCGCATGCCCGAATTCCACTCCCGCGCATGCGCCTGTCGCCTCATCGCTCACGCATCCACGCCGACGCGCCAGATTGCCCCCCGGGGCCCCCGGGGCAGACGCATGCGCGAGCCCCCCCAAGTATGCGCGCACATGCTGCCTTTCACGCGCATCGGGCGCCGGAGGCGTCGCTCCCTTTGATTTCGCGCTCGCGTTCAGGCAAGGGGCGCTCCGCCGCCGAGGCGCCTGCTGCCCACGCGCGCGCGCGGCAGACGAGCGCCGCGGTCAGCTTCGGCACTCTGCGAGTCCCTGGGCGGACGCGCAGAAGGCGTCGGAGCCGGCAAAGGAGAGCGGCCGCGCTCGCGTTGCCTGGGCGGAGGACTTCGACAGCACCGCTGTCGAGGCTCGCGACGCTTGCCGGGCGGGCAAACGGAAGCTGCACGGGGCCGTCGCCTTCCGCCTCCCTGCCCAGCAAGCTCGCGCTCCAGGGCCCGAACCTGCCCTTCGAGCCTGGAACTCTATTCGGACCCGGGTTTCCCAGCCGGGCTGCGGCCGCGAATCGCTTGACAGCTTCGGTCGCGAAGAATTGCAAGACGCGCGGGACCTTGGCGGTGTCGCTGTCGGCGCTGACGTCGGTCATCGTGCCTGGCGCCGCCAGAGAGTTCGACGGGGTCTACGAGGCGCACAGCGCAGCGATCCTGGGCGTCAGCCCTAACTATGTTGCGCGACGACGGCTTCGTCAAGCGTTGCTGCGCGACGTGGAAGAGACAGAGTGCAAACGGTGTCCACAGCAGGTGCCCCGACCACGACCAGGCCGCGATCGATGCCGCGCTGAGTGTTCCAGCTTGGGTTGGCCGATGGCAGTGGCCACTGCGCTGCCATGATGTTCCACGACGTGGCGATGCAGATCCCAGGCCTTCCGTCGCCGTCGACTGCCGCGGGCGCCAGCTTCCAGAAATTCTTGCAAACGCTCCGCAATGTGACCTACTCCATCCGCTTGGTTTACCGCGTCAACACGCTCCGCGATGTCAACAATCTCGAAACAAAGTTGCTCCTTCCCACGCTCACTTCGGACGGCGTCGTTGGCTCCTGGCGCCTGGGCCCGACGCCGATCGCCCCGAGCAACACCGCGTGCCCCTTCGCCGAGTGCAACTCCGTGAGCTACGATCCGGACCTCGGCTTCGCGGTCGTGGACGGCTCGACAGTCACCGCCGTGCGCCTCCTCGTCACGTTCCTGGAATCAGAAGACGACGAGGAGACGACCGTGCCCGACACTGCGCAGGGTCCGCGCGTCACACGGGTGGCCATCTGCGCCCTCGAGCCTGCGGGCCAGGCGGCGCCAACCAAATACCGCCTTACGGCTGGTGGCCTATCTTCAGCCGTTTAGTGGCTGGTGCGCGCGGACGGGGCCTCCCTCGTGACTGCCACGAAACGCAAGTGCGACGACACGTTCGCGGTGCAGTCGCACCACAAAATGGCTGCGCATGACATGCCCTTGTGGGCGCAGTACATGAACCGTGCGCTCGCGACCCCCAGGGGCCCGCCGCTGAACTTCGCCCACGCCGTGACGCCCCTGAAGCGCAAACGCGCCTTGGACGACGCAGCTTCGGCCTCCGAGGCTGCGGACATGATAGCGCGCAGCCGCAGGCTCGTCGAGGTGCGAGATTCTCTTTCTGCAGGGCGGCCTCCGCGCGCCCTTGACCTCGGACGGAGTCCTGGCGGTTATTGTTTGATCTTGGATTCACATGGAGTTCCAGCCATGTGTACACGTGAAAACAGGAGCGACGAAAGCCGTCTACATCACCCCACGCACCCGCAATTACCATCGTAATCCTCGCTATTGTCTGCCTTTCCTCTTCTCCTTCCTCTTCTCCTTCCGTCCCACTGCATCGGCTTTCCTGCTTCGGCTCGCCCCAAAAGCTTCTCTGCGATGCGAAAAAGCACTCTACCGAACGCAGTTTTCGTTAAATTTCGCAGGTGTCGTGCCCTGCTGTGTCTCCAAAGATGCCTCCCCTGAACGACGAGGGTGTTCAGATACCGTGCTGCCTCCGGGGTTTCGTGCCCCATCCACCCTTCCAGCGGAGGCCCCGCCTCAACCTTAAGTGGGGAACTCCGGTTGCGTAATGTGATTATTTCTCCATGTGGAAAATATCCCGGCGAAGGATCCAAACACATGCAGTTGTGAGTAACGCATTGTGGGTACCCCGTTCGGTGGAACTCCCTATGGGGCCACCAAGCGCGTGAGGGACGTGCCGTAATGGGTGGGGAGACGCATGCGGGCGGTGCCACTGGGGCCCTCGGTGGAGCTCCCTATAAGACCACGACGCGCTGTACTGGGTGGTGGCTGACGCATGCGGGCGGTGCCCCTCGTTGGAGCTCCCGATGAGGCCACGAAGCGCTGTACTGGTTGGGGGAAACACATGCGGGCGGTGCCACTGATGCCTTTCGGTGGAGCTCCCTTTAGGGCCACGAAGCGCTGTGCGGTGTGGTGGCCAACGCATGCGGGCGGTGCCAGTGGGAGTTTCAGTGGAGCAGTGGAGCTTCCTATGGGGCCAGAAAAAACGCTGTGCTGGGAGGGGGGCGCATGCGGGCGGCGCCACTGGGGCTTTCGGTGGAGCTCCCTATGGGCCCACGAATCGCTGCAATGGGTAGGGGGTCGCATGCGGGCGGGCCACTGGAGCTCCCTACAGGGCCACGAAACGCTGTACCGGGTGGGGGGCACGCATGCGGGCGATGCCACTGGGGCCTTCGGTGGAGCTCCCGATGAGGTCACGAAGCGCTGTACTGGTTGGGGGAAACACATGCGGGCGGTGCCACTGATGCCTTTCGGTGGAGCTCCCTGCGGGGCCACGAAACGCTGTGCTGTGTGGTGGCCGACGCATGCGGGCGGTGCCACTGGGACCTTCGGTGGAGTTGCCCATGGGGCCACGAAACGCTGTACTTGGTGGTGTCTGACGCATGCGGGCGGTCCCACCAGGGACCTGCGGTGGAGCTCCCTATGGGGCCACGAAGCGCTCTACTGGGTGGTGGCTGACGCATGCGGGCGGTGCCACTGGGGCCCTCGGTGGAGTCCCTTCATGGGGCCACGAAACGCTGTACTGGGTGGTGGCTCACTGAGACCTTCGGTGGAGTTTCCTATGGGACCACGAAACGCTGTACTGGGTGGTGGCCGACGCATGCGGGCGGTGCCACTGGGGCCGTCGGTGGAGCCCCCTTATGGGGCCACGAAACGCTGTATGGGTGGTGGCTGACGCATGCGGGCGGTGCCACTGAGACCACCGGTGGAGCTTCCTATTGGACCACGAAGCGCTGTACTGGGAGATAGCTGACGCATGCGGTCGGTGGGCAAGAAGGGCCAGCCCCATCCCCACCAGGGTAACCTTCGTCCAGTTGGCCGACCCCCCCCCGGGGGAGGCCCCGAGGAGCGGTACCTACCTTGTCTGGGTCGGGGTGGGGATGGTTCTGATGATGATGATTTGTGCTGCTGCTGCTGCTCCTCCTCCCCCTCCTCCTCCCCCTCCTCCTCCTTCTCCTCCCAGTGCTGAGGATGAGCCGTCTCCACGAACGGCCTGGCGATGGCACGCACCACGAGGGCATGCCCCCCCCCAGAAAGGGGGATCGGCCCCCTCTGGACCGAGGGCGGGCCCCACGTGGCTCCTCCTCGTCCTCCTCCACCTCCTCCCCACTGATCTCCGCCTCCTGGTCCTCCATCGCTTCTCCTTCATGGATAGCTCCCGACTGTCGTACCACCACACGCGCCCGTGAGCCACGCCAAGCGCTTCGCTCGAGACTTCCTGGCGATGACAGGATACTATACTGGGGGGCGGCCACGATGGGGGCGTCCAAGAAGGGGGGGCGCAAATCATGGCCGGCCGCATGTGCGCGGCCTAGGGGGGGGCGCCAGGGACGCATTGAAACACGAAGAGGCGCCACGAGATCTGCGGAAATATCATGGCCCACGCCATGATGTCCCCCCCCCCACTAGTCATCACCCCTGCCGCCCCCGAAATACTGGAGGGCCGGTGGTTCTCAAACACGGGGCTCTCGACCCAGCGCCGCACACATTCGCTACAATGACGGGGGGCAGTGAGTTTCAACAAGGGGGCTCTCACCTTCGCGCTGCGCGCATTCGCTTAAAAAACATGTATGAAGGGGCCCTGGGACACACAAATAAATACACACACACAAATGAAAGGATTCCCCAAGTTTTATCATATAGTCTGGGTTTTCGTCGTCCCCCCCCACTTCCCATATTTTCCCATATTTCCTGAGGATCGACGATTCATTGTGTCTGTGTGCTTTTTTCCCCTCCTGAATGTAACAGCTACAAGGATGGAGGACGGCTCCTTTTCAAAATGGGACTCTAAGACCTCTTCGGTTTGCAGCTACGTGGCACCAACGCAAGCGGAGGGCGGCTATTTTCCGAAGTGCGGTCCTTCGCTTCAGACCCTCTAGAATTTGACTAATTCGAGGGCAGGAAGATTCACATTGTGCGACGCTCATAGGGATGGGGGTGTCCTTTTCTCATCGGGGCTCTCGCTAGACACCACGTTGAGTTGTGCGATCTATCCGTGTCGAATTCCCCACACCTCGCCAGCAGGATGCAAGGCAACTCCTCTTCAGAACGGGGCACTCGCCAGGACGGCAGGCCCATAGGACGCTCCTCGCCTTTGGAGGGGGCGCCTCTTGAAGTGAGAAGATGTGGAGATGAAGGCTTGTAGGGGCACGTGGAGAGGGGAGCCAGGATAGGAAGGTGCATTGCAACATCATTGATGCATCCTGGGTTTACTCTGGACCTCTTCCTCCTCCTCCTCCTCCTCCTCCTCCTCCTCCTCTTCATCCTTCTCCTCCTCCTGCCCACCTCAGGCCCGACGACACCAGCGCACCCCGACACGCCAGGACAGCGTGCACGTTTCAGCCTCCCTCGCACAGCAGGGGGGTCTCGGCGAAACTCGTCGTTCTGCACAGCCTGTTCCCGCTGCGTCGGGGAATCACTGACTATGCGCTGCACCGCCACCGTACCCAAGACCAACATGTATTCTTGCACCTGGCGCTTGCGCGCATCTGGCCAAACCAAGATCGCTAACACGTCAACCGAGGAGGCCCGGTCAGAATCAGTGTCAGCGTATAGTTCGCGATTCCCACTGATCGTGCAAGCGGGGCGGTCTTAACAGTACCACCAGCTGGCCCACGCGGATGCACGCCTCTGAAACGCCCGACATTGCGCTGGGCAGCCAAGGAATTGGGCGGAGAAAAAGCTAGGTAGATGCATTGCACTGCCGCGAAAATGCCTCGCAACAGGTGCGACGCTGCGGGGCACGCTGGCCAGAAAAGCTCCTGACCTGTTTTAGAAGAACTGCCACAGGGCCCCCTCTGCCCCCCATCTCCCCAGCTACTCCTGCACCTCTTCCTGTGCCTGCACATCTACCTGCATCGGGACATCACCTATGATGCACATTGAATGTATAATGCAACCCTTCGAGTGTACACACATCGAAACATAAACATGGATGCGTGAGCCCATGTGATGGTCGATCTGTTCATCTACAGATGTGTGTGAATACTGGGCACCGTGTGTGCATACAGAGCAGCTTATATGGCTTTGAAAACGTACAGAACTCCAGACGCGGCCAGTAGATGCTTGGGCTCAACGTGCTTAACGCGACTACGCTTATCATGTAGCAATCGATATCGCTTTCTATCGGTCCCACTATGTTTTATGTATCCTACAATTTTACTTTCACTATCTCTGACGACCCCACTTTCTATCTATCCGGGCAACCATCGAAACACAACCATCGGGACAACCATCGGGACAACCATCGAAGGGCGCGTCAGAACAACTTTGTCACTATAGAAACCTGAGCTTCTTAAGGAGTTACCAGGCTTCTATTGATTGATTATTGCTGTCATTGTTTTTCATATCTGTTCGGTGCGTGTACACTGTGTTGCATAACATGCGTTGCTGTATAATGTGCTTCCCTTGATTCTAATCAAGGTAGATTGCTCCGCAGGGCGCTTATATGATGCCTCGCGCGTCGCATGTTTGAGAATACCTGTTTGCCCCGCAGTGCGCTGTCGCCTCGCAGAACGCATGGTTCTTTTAGTGCGACCTGGCAGAACGATTTTTGGGTGTTCGGGTCTCGCAGATTGCATTTCCCTGTTACTGCAGCCTCGGGAAGCACCTTTGTTTGCTCTTGTGGCCTGGCAGAACCTGCGGGACAACCATGGGGACAACCACCAGAATAACCATGGGGACACCCTGCGGCACAACTTTCACACCCCGGCCGGCGCAAGGGGGCGCCTCATTTTTGTCTGCCTTGGCCCCAGCCAATGGGCGAACTCACCCAACTTCGCCTCGCCTCGTGAGCACGCTCGTCACGCACGAAACGAAACGACTCCCAGTTTCGGCACCTCATGTTTCACTTCGGTCTCGCCCACCCAAACTCCGACACCTAATCGCGATTGGTTTTTATCAACCATCCAGTAGTGGACAGATGATCGTTTTTCTGGGGGCGATTTCAGGGTCGCCGACACCTAACAATAGACGGCAGTTAATTATTCTGCCGCCGCCAGGAGGAGGAGGAGGAGGAGGAGGAGGAGGAGGAGCAGGGTAGGTGGAGGACGACAAGGACAATAGCAAGGACAGGGCGAAAC